CACCGTCTTGTAGACTAGAGTGTATCCGAACTCTTTGTTCGTGCTCAGATCCACAGTGAAAAGGAAGCGCAGTTCGAGCGGGAGCTGTGATCTGGGCATGTTTACTACAGCCGGGATGATCCTCTGTGACATGGGCCCTTCAGACAGGACCTGGTGCATCTGATACGAGCACCAGTCATCCTTCACAAAGTTTGGAGTGACGAGTAACAGCCAGCAGTGACTGTCCTGCACCGCCTGCAGCAGCTCAGTGGACACAGCGCCTCCTGCGGGACAGTCCCGCTCCTGCAGGTAACAGCGCAGGCCGTTGGACGGGGCTTCTAGGAAAGAGGCCAGACTCTGTGCTAGATCACTGTCCTCATCATTGTGACACACGAAAACATCATATCTGAGAGAGGAGCGGAAGGGAGAGGAGAGCACGGAGGGCAGAGGCTGATCTGAGGCCGATGGCTTGGCTGATATGGAGGATTTCAGGGAGGAAGAGGAGGAGGAGGAGGAGCACACCGAGCTGCTGGTGTTGGAGTGTCCGGGGGAGCACGTCTGAGAACATTTACATGGTTTAACTTGATCCGAATCATTCCTTTGTTTTCCAAAGCGCTGACGAAACCAGCCTGATGATGCAAAGATATATAATAATACTCAGTTATAGAGATAATGTAATATTCAAGTGATACAAAGAAGCATCCATTGCATAAATAGACACATTTTAATGGGACAAAGATTAAAGCACTTCAACAAAACTTGGTTTCATGTATTTTAAATAAACTATTAAAATAAATTGTTATACTATATATATATATATATATATATATATATGTATATATATTTATATATATATAAAGTATATATAAACACGAATTGTCATACAGTATACACTACAGTGTTTAATATCAACATAGTTACTTTATTATATAAACAGATAACATTATCATACAACATCTGATGAGATTATTACATTATTACAGTCTTTTACAGTATTATAGTATATTATAACTTGTCACAGTCGGTGTGGAGAGATGACGCGAGGACTCAAATGCAGGAAGAAATAGGCTTTTAATGATAAAAAAATAAAACAAAACAACATTAAAAACTCCTCCGAGGGGGGAAAAAAAAGCAGACCGGCAGGCCAGGACACGGTACAGCACGGCAAGACAGAGCGCAACACAGGTACAACAACACACGCACATACGAATGACAAACCAGCACAGAACTGCAAACACAGGGAGACTAAGTAGGGCAGGTAATGAAGGAGACACTGGTGGAATCACTGAAACAATAATGAGGTAACAAGATGGCCAGGGTCAGACAATAGACTGGAGAGCACATGACACCGACAAACACACAACAAGCCATGTGCTCACTGGAAAGACACAGTGTCCTCTAGTGGCCATCTAGGGCACACCAGCTGAAGACTGTGACGATAGCTGTTAATTAAAGTATATAATGAGTTTTAATTTAATTTAATATGTTACATTTTGACTAAACATTTAGACATTTTTTTTGTGTAGCAATTTTTATGATGGATGAATGCACTTTATTGGAATTAAAAATCTCAACAGCCATTCACTGCCATTATAAAGCTTGGAACAGTCGGGGCATTTTTAATACAACTACGAATGTATTCATCTGAAAGAAGACAGTCATATACACCTAGGATGACTTGAATGTGAGTAAATCATGGGGTGATTTTCATGTTTGGGTGAACTATCCCTTTAAATATAAATCAACTGTTACATTGAAATTATTTTAAATGATTTGTATTTTTGAATTTATATTTTGACTAAACATTTAAACCACACACACACACACACACACACACAATATTATATTATAAATAAATTCAGCTGTGTGTGTAATGCAGAGTTTATTACAGTGTTTTATAGTATTTCAATTATACATTTTTCTTGTCAAATAAGTAGTGTAATATCTCAGCAGATAGTGTTGCATATATATGCAGTAATGTTGAGCAATATCCTGTGTGTGCTGTGATAAATGTCACAGCTCAAGATTTAATGTAAAATTAGCAAAAAGAGAAATGCGATGTTTCACCATGACTGTCATATCTGAATGACAATAAACGCTCGTTTGCTTTGAGCCACTGGGGAAAAAGATGAAAATAATAATGACAGATCTTCTTGAAGTTCTGCTGTGTGTGTAATGCAGAGTTTATTACAGTGTTTTATAGTATTTCAATGATACATTTTTCTTGTCAAATAAGTAGTGTAATATCTCAGCAGATAGTGTTGCATATATATGCAGTAATGTTGTGCAATATCCTGTGTGTGCTGTGATAAATGCCACAGCTCAAGATTTAATGTAAAATTAGCAAAAAGAGAAATGCGATTGTGTTTCACCATGACTGTCATATCTGAATGACAATAAACGCTCGTTTGCTTTGAGCCACTGGGGAAAAAGATGAAAATAATAATGACAGATCTTCTTGAAGTTCTGCCAACACATTAAAACATTTATTTTGTGTTACATAATTGTTCACTACTTCCCTGGCGATGCATCATGAAACTGCAACAGAGACTTACCCATAATGCTGCTGACGTGGTTTTCCTCCATTCTTCTCCATCCTTTCAAGGATATAAACTACAACAGGCACATACGCAGACAATGTTTAAAAATAAGCACTGTATATCACACTCTACATATCATACTATATACACACAAGTAACTTTCATACAACAGAAAAAGAAAACACTGCATGCACACTGTCATCAGTTCAAAGTTAATATCAGTTCCACTTTTCCCTGGATCACTTTCAGTTTTTATGTCTGGATATTAGTACATTCGTGCTTATTATGAAGTAGACCGCAAGCTAATATCATAATTCTATCATATTATTCAAAGCATGATTAAGACAGCAAATGCTGTATAGAGTGAGACGATCAGTACTTACAGTTGTTTTAAGTTGCAAAGAGAGTGCAGGTTGTCTGAGGGCACTGCTGCAGTGCAAAAGATCAGCATGAGATGTTTGAGGAAGTCCATGCGATCGGAAGCGATGTGTCATTATGCAAACCAACATAACTTATGGCTATTCTTACTAAGTAATGATAATAAAAGAATAGGAAGACAATAGAATAAGAGGAAGTCAAGACAGAATGGGTGTAGCTTTGAGTTGCATTTGGATTTATTATTGCCAGTCTGGTCAGTGCATGGTTTTAGATGTGATATATTACAACTAAAGGGGTAGCAGTTTCCATTGACATTTAGTCTGTCTGGTTTGCTGGGATTCCCCTCAGTTACGAGAAATGGGTGCGGTCGATATTTCAAACACACATGAGTCTAGAAATGATTCAACTGTGGGACGATTTTGCATGTTCCAGTTACTAAATTAATGTGCTCTCAAAATTCATTTATAAATAATCGTTTGAATGTTATGCCATGGTAGATAACCTATGTTTTTGCTCTAATGCCATCATTTTAAGATGTTAGGATGTCTGGTTTGGTGAAATTCACTTTTATTGTCAATGGTTAATACAGGAAACAAGAACAAAATTGACACTGAAATACGGAAAAGGCTAAAAAAAATAGAGCATATAGATCTTGATCAAGGCAGATTTTAACTAGACAAAAATAATTATACAGTGTGAATTCAGCATATAGTTAAAACCATATGGCACAAGCAAACCTGCTGGGATGAATTTATTTGATCAAAAATACAGTAAAATAGTCATACTGGGAAATATTACAATTTAAAAGAACAGTTTGCTATTTTAATATAGGCCTATTTATTTTATTCGTGTGATGACAACGCTGCATTTTCAGCAGTCAGTGTCACATGATCCTTCAGCAATCACTCCAAAATTCTGATTTGCTGCTCAAATATTGCTGGTGCTCAATTATCATTAAGAGTTCTCATTACTGTCATAGTTTGTTTGTTTGTTTTTAAATATTTATTTTTGGCATTAGGCCTTTATTACGATAGGACAGATCAGAACTGACAGAAAGCGAAGTGGGAGAGAGATGGGGGGGTTTGAACTCGGGACGCTCGTAGCGCAATGACGCTGTATGTCGGCGAAGCTATCGGTGCCAACATTACGGTAGAGTGGGGGGAAACGCCCACCTTCAGGACTGTGCTTCTTTTTTCTTTCTGTGAAACAAAAGTTAAATGTGTTCAGAAAAGTTATCATAGTTTTAGTGACAATGACATAAATTATAAACCAAGTATGAAAAATGTCCAGAGTTTTCATGATATTAGATTTTTTAACAAAAATGTCATTGGTACCCAAGGGAACGTAAAATGTTAATACAATTATTAAATAATAATATAATAGCGAAATAATTATGAATTACAAAATTATAATAGCCGATTTGATTGTTAGCTGATGCCAACTGGCAAGCTAACTAGCTACCTGATGCTAACTTGAGGTAATTTTTAAATATAAAGTCCAAATATTTTTATTCAACCACCTAGTTAGAATGCATTAGATGAAAACACAAAGGATTTGATGTTCAGAACAGAGTAGCAGTAATTATTCATTATTCATAAAGCTCTTTCTGATTAAGCAGTGGCACGTACTCCCTATCTACAGGCCTTAATATTCTCATACCATATATAACTGTGATGTTTTACAAAACAACAGGCTTTAAAACGCTTCTTTTTTATTTTTCTTACTGCTGAAAATCAGATCATTTACTGTGAAACTTCTCTTCTCAACGTAGTCCATAATTACAATGAAGATGTATCTCGACTTTATCTTGTGGTTATTTGGGGGAAAACAGTAGGGGGCGTTTTCCTCCACTCTAAACTGTCTACTGTCATTATTGAAAACAGTTTTGCAACTCAATATTTTTGTGAAAAACTGTGATGCAATTTTTTGTTTCAGGACACTCTGATGAACAGATAGTTCAAAAGAACAGCATTTTTTAAGAAATATATTTTTGTTTAGCATGAAATGTCCTTGCTGTCACTTTTAATCAATATAACGCATCTTTGCTGAATGACTTCTTTTTACCTTGCTTGATGATTTTTATTTTGAAAGTATAAACGCTCGTGTTGAATGAGGTACACAGCAGAGTTCGTGATGTGTGTATGATTTAAATGGATTTAAGCAGGCGTTTTAACGGAGCAGTATGAAGACTCCAGTGAGCGTCTTGCGGCTGCCCAGAGGACCGGGGCCCAACAGCCGCGGATTCGACCCGAGCTCCCCCCGCTTCACCGCTCTGCGCTCCTCCTCCTCCTCCTCCTCTGATGATGATGATGATGAAGAGCAGCAGCGGCAGAGGTTTCTGTGGACTCTCTCACTGATGAAGGACAAGCTGGTCCAGTTCGACATGCACGAGAGAGTGCGCATGCTCGACGTGCAGCGCTTCCAGGTTTCTGATCTGGAGACTCCTCTGGGGGTCCAAAGAGAGGCGCTCCTGAGGAGCCAAGATGTGCTTGCATGCTCTTTTGAACTGTGAGAGCCATGCTGGTCCTCACCGCAAGAGCGCGCCACAAGAGTTGCGATTAAAGTTGAGTGGGCTCAAAGAACGACATTTCTCGTTGCTTTCATTGTTGTGCATGCTGCTGTTCGTAATAAACCTTTGCAATGTTGAGAACTGTGTTCTGAAACGTCCTTTTATTCCAATCAAAGTGTCCTTCATAATTTACAAACTCTCTTAAAAATAAAGGTTCTAACGGGTTTTTTTTGTTTGCAATGATGTCACAAAACATTTTGTGGTTCCTTTCAGTGAACAGTTCTTAAACGTTTTTTTTTCTTAGTGTGTAGGACATTCTAATAATCTGAAGAACCTTTTACTATAAGAACTTTTTTGTGCAATGGAAAGTCTCCATGGGTGTTAAAGGTTCTTCCTCAATGCCGATAGTACAGAGCCTTCATTTTTAAGATTCTACCAATAATTAAACTAATCCAAACTGCACATGCATTACATTACAAAAATTGCATCATAAACTCCTTGCGACTAATTCTGAGGCCACAGGAAAATGACATCATGACAATGCTGATTTACTAACGAGTCCTCAAGAATGCATGAGCTCTGAGGTCAAAGCCAACAGATGCACTCTAAAAAACTGGGTTAAAAAAGGGACAAACCCAGCTATTGGATTGTTTTGACCCAGCGGTTGACCAATGCTGGGTTAAAACAACCCAATAGCTGGGTTTGTCCCTTTTTAACCCAGCGCTGGGTTATATTTAACCCAGCATTTTTTAGAGTGTGGAGATGTCAATTTCTCTCTCTTTTTTATTTAAAGAAAGATTAGCAGTGTATCAGTTAGCAGGACACATCACCACATACTTTCCCCAGTTTTCTTCCTGATGGGTGTTAAAGGTTCTTCCTCAATGCCGATAGTACAGAGCCTTCATTTTTAAGATTCTACCAATAATTAAACTAATCCAAACTGCACATGCATTACATTACAAAAATTGCATCATAAACTCCTTGCGACTAATTCTGAGGCCACAGGAAAATGACATCATGACAATGCTGATTTACTAACGAGTCCTCAAGAATGCATGAGCTCTGAGGTCAAAGCCAACAGATGCACTCTAAAAAACTGGGTTAAAAAAGGGACAAACCCAGCTATTGGATTGTTTTGACCCAGCGGTTGACCAATGCTGGGTTAAAACAACCCAATAGCTGGGTTTGTCCCTTTTTAACCCAGCGCTGGGTTATATTTAACCCAGCATTTTTTAGAGTGTGGAGATGTCAATTTCTCTCTCTCTTTTTTTTTAAAGAAAGATTAGCAGTGTATCAGTTAGCAGGACACATCACCACATACTTTCCCCAGTTTCATCACTGTACGTTATGCTATAGGTGTTTTGTATTACAGGTTTGCTGAAATGCTATGTATACATTTGCATATATTTCTAGTTGGAATGGTTAAAACCAGGTCAAAACGAAAGGTTCTTACAGAAAGGATTTCAGATTTGTCTTTTTCATCACTCCATAAATCAGAAAATAATCAAATAATAAATGAAACAAAACTTTTTCAACATGGTTCTAAGAAATAAAATGTTATAAATAAGTGTGAATTATACACTCTAACAAAATGCTGGGTTGGATACAAACCAGTGCTGGGTAAAATAGGGACAAACCCAGCAATTGGGTTGTTTTGAACCAGAAGGTTGGGTTAAACATTTAACACAACCGCTGGGTCAAAACAGCACAATTGCTGGGTTTGTCCCTATTTTACCCAGCACTGGTTTGTATCCAACCCAGAATTTTGTTAGAGTGTATATGAACAAACCCCTTAGTAAAAATCTTAAGAATATAGAATAAATCTGGAAAGTTTGATGTACAGTATGTAAGTGGAGATTTGTATTTATTTTTTTTTAAGATGTATTGTAACTGAAATCTAGAAGAATCAAATAGATCAAATGTAATTACATAAACAGGTAAAGGGATATTTTGAAGAATGTTGGTAACCAACAGTTTTTGGACCCAGTTGACTTCCATAAGGAAATATTATGGAAGTCAGTGGCTACTGTCATATTCTTAAAAAAAAAAAAATATTCTTTTGTGTTTAACAGAAGAAAGAAATCCATACACGTTTTGAGCGACATGAGGACGAGTGAATGATGACAGAATTTTCAATTTCAAATTAAATTTTTGAGTGAACTGTCCCTTTAAATGTTTATTTCGGATGCCTTCATTCCACTAGCCTGATAGAAGACAAGTTATGGGAGCAAAACAAACCAATATCTCAACATTTGTTACCGTTATGTAAATTAGCACTGCTGGAATAGTGCATCAGGAGCGGAACTGATTCACAATATTAACAGTAATGACAATTAAAAGTCTTTCAAATCTTCTGGCGACGTTAAAGATTAGTTTAAAGTGTCCACCTGCACAAAAACACACAATTTTCAAATGATTGTGTTACAGTTTTCATTGAAAACGCCGCTGCACAAAAAAGCAGCCGTGACATATTAGTCATCTATTTGTGTCCAAAAAGTTTTTTTAAGGGCACAGGAGTTTGTTATTCTTCTAATGGTAAGATTCTACCAATAATTAAACTAATCCAAACTGCACATGCATTACATTACAAAAATTGCATCATAAACTCCTTGCGACTAATTCTGAGGCCACAGGAAAATGACATCATGACAATGCTGATTTACTAACGAGTCCTCAAGAATGCATGAGCTCTGAGGTCAAAGCCAACAGATGCACTCTAAAAAACTGGGTTAAAAAAGGGACAAACCCAGCTATTGGGTTGTTTTAACCCAGCATTGGTCAACCGCTGGGTCAAAACAATCCAATAGCTGGGTTTGTCCCTTTTTAACCCAGCGCTGGGTTATATTTAACCCAGCATTTTTTAGAGTGTGGAGATGTCAATTTCTCTCTCTTTTTTATTTAAAGAAAGATTAGCAGTGTATCAGTTAGCAGGACACATCACCACATACTTTCCCCAGTTTCATCACTGTACGTTATGCTATAGGTGTTTTGTATTACAGGTTTGCTGAAATGCTATGTATAAATTTGCATATATTTCTAGTTGGAATGGTTAAAACCAGGTCAAAACGAAAGGTTCTTACAGAAAGGATTTCAGATTTGTCTTTTTCATCACTCCATAAATCAGAAAATAATCAAATAATAAATGAAACAAAACTTTTTCAACATGGTTCTAAGAAATAAAATGTTATAAATAAGTGTGAATTATACACTCTAAAAAAATGCTGGGTTAAATACAAACCAGTGCTGGGTTAAATATGGACAAACCCAGCAATTGGGTTGTTTTGAACCAGAAGGTTGGGTTAAACATTTAACACAACCGCTGGGTCAAAACAGCACAATTGCTGGGTTTGTCCCTATTTTACCCAGCACTGGTTTGTATCCAACCCAGAATTTTGTTAGAGTGTATATGAACAAACCCCTTAGTAAAAATCTTAAGAATATAGAATAAATCTGGAAAGTTTGATGTACAGTATGTAAGTGGAGATTTGTATTTATTTTTTTTTAAGATGTATTGTAACTGAAATCTAGAAGAATCAAATAGATCAAATGTAATTACATAAACAGGTAAAGGGATATTTTGAAGAATGTTGGTAACCAACAGTTTTTGGACCCAGTTGACTTCCATAAGGAAATATTATGGAAGTCAGTGGCTACTGTCATATTCTTAAAAAAAAATATATATTCTTTTGTGTTTAACAGAAGAAAGAAATCCATACACGTTTTGAGCGACATGAGGACGAGTGAATGATGACAGAATTTTCAATTTCAAATTTAATTTTTGAGTGAACTGTCCCTTTAAATGTGTATTTCGGATGCCTTCATTCCACTAGCCTGATAGAAGACAAGTTATGGGAGCAAAACAAACCAATATCTCAACATTTGTTACCATTTTAAATAAGTTTGACTTTTATATATATATATATATATATATATATATATATATATATATAAATTTTTTTGAGTAACGCAAATGTTTATGGTTTTAGTTTTCGTATCCACTATAAAATAGGAGCATTGACATACAATCATTTTTAATGCATTTTGAATGTGTTTTTATTTTCCTCTTTAATTTGAGTAATTTTTTGTCATTTTTATTTTATTATTATTACTCAGTTTTAGTTAGTTTATTACACTAATTAAACTAAAATACATTTTGCTTTGGGAACTAGCTGAAATAAAATAAAAATATTTGTATTATTTTATTTTAAGTATTTTTTATGGTTTTAGTTTTAGTTAACTATTAACCATGTTCCATATCCACTATCAAACTTAATATTTTTTTTTTCACTTTTTTTCTTTTGTCTTAAGAAATGTAATTCCAAGCATTCAAGCCTTCAGATCAAAAATCTTTAAGATCATGGAAGCATGTTCTGTGCCTGCAGCCTCCTGATTTACAGTGAAAAAACACCCCTCTCTGTGTGTGTGTGTGTGTGTGTGTGTGTGTGTGTGTGTGTGTGTGTGGGTGTGTGTGTGTGTGTGGGTGTGTGTGTGT